CCAGTTATAGTTTCAGAATTTAAATATCTTATAACATATTATATTTTTTTGATCATCAGAAGAATATGTGTTTTCTTCAGAATTTTTGAACTCGAAGATCAAGGGAGAGTTGGATTCGTATGTTCCTGAATTTGTATGTGGCTATAGTTCTAAATATCACCAACTCTTAGGATACCATTTTTCATTTACATTTGTGAAGCTGGTGTGTAGCAAGACAATAATAATAATAATAATAATAATAGCAAAAAAACCCCTCTGCAGCAAGAAGTAGAGATCACCTATAGACAGAAAACCCCAAACCCAAACACTGTTTTTTAAAAATTTTATTTAATATTATTATTAATTGCAGAATAGTATAGAGGTACAAATGTTTTGGCTATATTAATTGCTTTTGTACAGTTTGAGTCAAAGTAATAAGTGTTTTAATCAGCCGTAGTTGTGAATTTACCCATCTCCTCCTCCCCCTCCCACCTGCTTGATTTCCATTGAATTTTACTACCATATGTGACATGAGTGTTGATCTATCTGTTTCAATTTAGTAGTGAGTACACATGGTTTTTGTTTTTCCATTCTTATGATACTTTACTTAAAAGGATGGTCTCTAGTTCCATGTAGGTTGTTACAAAACGTATTAGTTCACCATTTTTAATGGATGAGTAATACTCCATGGTATACACATGCCACATTTTATTGATCCACTCATGTATTGATGGGCACTTGGGTTGTTTCCACATCTTTGCAACTGTGTATTGTACTGCTATAAACATTTGAGTGCAATGTCTTTTTTATAAAATGTCTGTTTTCCTTTGGGTAAATACCCAGCAGTAGGATTGCTGGATCAAATGGTAGTTCTACTCTTAGTTCTTTGAACCATCTCCATACTATTAATACTTTCCATAGAGGTTGTACTAGTTTGTAGTCCCACCAACCTTTAGCCCTTATTCAGATTGTCAGATTCCCAGCTATAAATTAGCCCATCCATAGCTTCTTCCTCATGAAATATTTACATTTCATGAAATAGTCTAGTATCTAACTCATAAATTACCTCCACCTCCCCTGCCTTTTTTTGGGATCTAAGTTAAAGTTGTTTTCAGTCACTTGCAACTGAAATAGTACTTACCAATAAAGGATATACATATTTATACTGGGAAAATACTTTGTGGAAATGATGACACACTCTGATTCATAGAAATCATAGCATCTACATCCAGTTCTACCCAAACTTTTCATACACATGTGCCATATATCTAAAATAAGAAATTAAGAATGAGTAAATTATAATTGAAAAGGTGTGGATGAACCAAGATAATCTACAAAAACCTACCTCCAAAAAGAAAAGATTTGATTTTGATATGCCATAGTTATTTTTGTGATAGCCAAGAGCGTAAAGTACAAATGACAAAACCTTAAAAAGTAGTCTTTAAGCAAAATATGTGAAGGTTTCTTAGTTACTTTAGTTTATCTATGTATTTATTAATAAGATAATTATATTAATAAGATACTTAATAATATTAAGAATATTGATATTAATAACATCAACATTATTGATGATATTAATATTATTAATAATTAATAATACAATTAATAAGATAATTTAACACCACCTCTGAATAATCATTTTGATTCATCATTATTCAATTCTTGCTGTGACAGCTACTTCTTTCCCCATATTTCCAATTTTGATAGGAATATAAATATTTTAATTCTTCTCTTGCTTTGTTGTGCTCTAATATGAAAAAATCAAACTGAACACCCCATAGCCCTATGCCTTGTGATTGGTTGTATTCTCATCTCTGAAGTAACTTAGTCTCAGAAGTAACTTAGTTTCTTTTTTCTTATGATTAATCATTTAATGAAGTTATTATTCTCAGCTTGAGTGGCTGAACAAAATATTTATTCCTTGTATATACAATGCTCTCATCAAGATGAATTCTGATGAATAAAAATAATCTTGCCCTGTTAAAGTGCTAAAGACAATGTACAAGAATCATTTTGAGTTTAATGGAATATTGTAGTCAGTATCAGTCAGAGTTCTTGCTTATAAGCAATAGAATTCAACTCTGGCTGAAGTAGTAAAAGTGGAATTATTTTTAAAATACAGAGGATTAGAAAAGATTATTAAAGGCTGGAGAAGTAGTTTGTTTATTTTTTCATTTTTTATTTAAGTAGATTGAGAGGGTGCCAGTGTTTTGGGGTTTTTTTGTTTGTTTGTTTGTTTTGTTGTTGTTGTTACATGGATGAATTACAGAGTGGAGAAGTCTAGGCTTTTGATTTATCCATCACCTGAATAGTATACATTGTACGCAATAGATAATTTCTCATACCACATACCCCTCCCACTCTCCCTGTTCTCAGTCTCCAGTATCCATTAAGTCACTCTCTGTGACCACGCATACCCCATTGCTTAGCTCCTACTTATAATTGAGAACATGCAGTATTCAGTTTTTTAAATAGGGTGATATAGTTTGGATACTTGGCTCCTGGAAATCTCAGGTTGAAATTTGATCCCCAGTGTTGGAGAGGGGCCTGGCATGAGTGGATTGCGCCTTGGAGGCAGATCCCTCATGAATGGCTTAGTTCTCTGCCCAGTACAATAAGAGAGTTCTCCCTTTGTTAGTTCACAGGGGAGCTGGTTGTTTAAAAGAGCTTGGGGACCCCTCTGTTCTCTCTTCTGCCTCTTCTTTCACCACATGACAAGGCTGCTCCTCCTTCACTTTCTTCCTTGATTGAAAACTTCCTGAAACCTTCACAAGAAGCAGCTACTGGTAATCTGTTTCTTGTACAGACTATAGAACTGTAAACCAAATAAACTTATATTCTTTATAAATTACCCAGCCTTAAGTATTTCTTTATAGCAGTGCAAAATGGACTAACACATAGGGCTACATTCAGTATGTCTGTGGAAGTTTATAATTTAAAGCAGTCAAGACACTTAACCCATGCCTGTACATTCCATGGCCAGTGTATGTTGCAACCAAAATTTTTTCTCTCTCTCCAATTGAGTCACTCAATCAAGAACCTAGTTGTTGGCAGGAGAGACCATTTTGATAGGCCTAGGCAATGAAATTCTCTCTGCCAAACACAATGGTAACAAGGAGAATATACCTTTCAGATTCCAATGTTCCAATGTTCATGGGGCATAATAGAGAATTCCCAAAACTTGTAACAGGGTTCAAATTCTGCAGGCGGGAAATAACAAATGACCATACCACTATTTATAACACAAATGAAAAATATGCCTCGCAAGTTACAAGAAAGAATAGTGTAGGAGATAGGAAGAAGTCAAACTGTGTGATATTTTACTCAAGTATTTTTAATTAGGTTTGCTTAAAACCCAACTGATTTATTCTAATTAAAGAGCATATTAAATCCATGTTGTGATAAACTTTTGCTCACAAAATTTACAGTAATTGAAAAAGCAATACTAGTATTCAAAGAGCATGAAGGAAAACGGTTCCGTGTGCCGCTCAGGAATGCATAAATTAGTAAAATGTGTACTGGAAAGTTATTTGACATTAGCTAGCAAAATATTTAAATTTTTGACATGACATTTCATATCTAGGGACTTACAATTAAATGAGTAGATACATGCACAATATTTACCTATGACTATGACCTGCTGATATTCCCTTTCCCACTCTTATATGTCCTTTCCATAGTCTTAGATCTTTGTCAGGAAAAGCTCCCAGTGCACTGGGTTGTTTTGATTGTGTCATCATTTTAGCCAATGTCTAAATCATGTGCTATGAGATAATGCTTGCATATACTATAAAAGTAGAATAGTTATGCTTTTGATTCAAATTATGCTACTACATTTTTAAAATATATTGCAGAAAGCATATAGGTATGTACACATGTTGCTGAGATATACCAGTGCTAGGAAACAAAGAGCAAATAAAATCGACATACTTTTTGTAAAAGTATGTTTCATATATTTCATATGAAATGTATACTTCATATATTTCATATGTTTCATATACTTTTGAATAATCTTAGTTGCTTCTGAAACACAAAAGCATAAATAATTATTACACTTTTTTATTTATTTATAAAAGATTAGACTCATATAGATAACAGATTTCCCCCTTTATAAATTTTGTCATTTTTCTTTTCATGCTTTCATTGAAAATAACATTCCAGGATATTGTCTTTTAATATCATTTTGAGTTATTGACAATATATTTTAGATTTTTTTCAGTTGTTTCTTCACCAGATTTACTATCTCAGTACTTAGAGTCTTTTTCTAAAACTCCTCTTGCCAGGTTATCTCATTCCATTTTTTATTTTGAGACTATATGTATTATTTTATAACTTAACTGTTGTGGAAAATGTCATATTTTGTATTGATTTTGTATATTGATTCAGTAATTCAAAGATATAAAATGTGTCTAAATGTTAAGACAAGGTTTACTTCTTCTTCCCTAAGTTATAAAATTGCTCTGTACATATTCTAATCTCATAGTTTGTTATCATTTTATTCCCTATATGCAGTGAAGAATTCATCATTCCGTATTATGTAATAGTTATCTTAAGTTACTTGAGATTTATAATTAATAATGATGTAAATAAATTTCTCATTTTAGAATGCTTTAAATGCACATGCACATATTATATATATGCCACTAGTCTTTACATTAGATGGTATTTTAAAATGTTATATAATAATGTGCTAGGTTTTTAAAATTTTAACTATAAGAAACAGTATGCTAATGTTAAATACATCTAAATGAGAATGTGTGCGTAATAGTGTGTGTGTGTTTGAAGATTAGTGCATCCAGAATTCAGAGATAATAAAAATGTTCTCTCTATTCTTGCTTTGGAATTTCAGATAAGAGTGGTTATATTAAGAAGCAGAGATAAAAGGAGAAAGCAAGAAATAATTCAAATGCTGGTAAAGTAATACTCTACATTGTGGCAATTCACAATAGTGTGTTATATATAGAAATAAGATCAGTCATTTTTTTCAAGCTTGCTAAATAAAACTAAACTCTTGGAATGGCATGCCATTTGACCTCTCAGGGTTCTTCTAGCAGTATTTAACTGGTGCAAGGGGAACACATTTGCAAGTGTCTATGGTTGACATGACAGATTCTCGTGTTACTTCACACAATGTTCAAAAGGCAGAAGTCCCTTGCTTCAGAACAAAAGAAAGGATTATTTTCCCAAGGAGCTACACAGTCCCTATTGAAGAATGATATGAGAAATTTTCAGTGTTTGTCGCAATTTGTACTCTCAGCGGGCCCTCTCACGGCAATTCCAGGAGTCAAACATTCAAAAACTACTCACTTTGAGATTGAAATACTTGATGCTCAAACAAGAAAACAGATATGTATTGTGGATAAGGTGAGTTTCATTTGTTTGTTTAAATGTTGCTATCTGCATCAAAGATTATTGATCACTTGATTAAATGCTGACAGGACTGTACAAAAAGTCATTCCTCACTTTTAACCTTAATTTTATGGCGAACAGGACAGATACTTTACACATTGTTTCAGGAGGAGATGTTCATTGCATCTTTCATACTCGATTTAAATTTAATTAAATGGTAGCTAATAATTTAGTTCTGGGTTTCCTGCTATCATTGATTATTGTTTAGGGGTAACATTTTCAAGATGAACTACTTAGCTTACGTGAAAAATGTCTCTAGGTTTCTATCTTCATTCACTTCATTAAATATTCACATTATCATAGAGTTTTAAGAGGGGTTGTAGCAAAAGCCACAGTAACTGCTAATAGTAAGATTTAACACATATATGATAAAGTCTAATGATTTTAAAAGCTATTTTGAATTGGTTTAATTATTTGTCTTAAAAGTTACCATCTCACATTTTATGAAAGTTTACATGCTTCAAAACCAGACTTCAAGGTCCTGAAAATAATGTCATGTTTAATATTCACAGATATTTAATTAAGGAAAGATAATATATATTCTTTTTAGGTTTGAAAATTCAAACATGAACACACATATACATTTTAGATATACAAATACATGTATAATACTCTAAATATTTTCAGTTTTTCTTATATTTTAAAAAGATATTATTAGTTTAATCAATTGAGACACTGATATTTGTACAGGTAATAAAATACACCTTTATTTTGTTTTACAGAAACATTGATTAGGTTTTTTGTTGTTATTCTCAAAATAAAAATTGAATCACTTATTCCATTTTACCATGGTTTCTAGATAAGAGGAAAAAAGAAGAAATTATTCACTGCTTTTAATTGCCAGCAAGATAGTATATCATCTCTTACTTAGTAATTATTACACAATGACCAGTTAATTATTTGAATAATATTAACTATTATTTATAGATGGAGAAGATTAAGAACTTCAACAAGTTCCTATAGGCTACAAATAGCACTTAAGAGATTCAAAACCATTTCTATACAACTTTTACTCATATGCTTTTTCTATAGTTCTACTGGGGTCATATGTAAATGATAAATATGTACTATGTAAAATAAATTTTGATATATGAATTTCATGAACAGAATAATTTACTTTTTTTGGTATCAGAGTAAAGTTTTTAGATTTTTTCATAGTATACAGGAATTAGACAAAACTAAAAAATAAAATTCTCATCCATAAGTTGCTAATATTTACAATATCCCACTATGAAAAACACAAAACTTACAAGAGGAACACATTTAAATCAGAGGAAACAATGTAATAAATGGAATGGAAAGTAAATAAGTCAAGGATTTCCAGAAACTAAGATGCTCAAATTTTCAAATAAGACTGATTAGTGTGTCCTTTCTGACCTATCTTAACCTTAACAATCTACCTTAAAGTAATGAGAAACTACTGAGTTATTAATTATTTATCTCATACATTTAAATTTTATGTTATTGAGACTTTATTTGAAGGTAATTCAGGAATATTTACATTTCCAGGAGTTAATTAAATTTCAAAAAATATTAAACGTTCGGGAAACTATCATTCTTTAGAGATAAAGATTTTGTTCGGGAAGCTTGTATTTGAAGTGTGACAGCCCTGGTATTTGTATCTCAAGTGACAAACCTTTATAGAGACTCAGTAGGCTAAATAGGGGATTGGCTTTGGATGTCTAACCATCCTTTGTTGCACAATCAAACCTATAGGATGTGTAATTTCCAACATCCAAATCTGTAGAATTGGACTTTGTTTTGTCTTATTTTAGTTTTGTAATCTGATGAACTGTTATGCAATAGTGATGAGACATTAAGAGAAAAATAAATCTAGATTAATTTACCTATTTTTGCTTTAGGATTGCTAACATTTTTTATTTGTAAACATTAGAAAGACTGTTTTTTGTTATTTTACATGATGTTATTCTCAGACAAATAAGAGCTATATAGTAAGGTCATGTTAAGTGCCCTTCCTTGTATTTGGTTGTTCACAGTGTACAAAAGAACTGTCGCTTATAACTTAGTCCTTATCTTTCAGTCTTTATTATGTTATAAATTAATACAAGTTAAAGATTATGTACTTTGGAACCAAATCCCTGCTACATCACTCATGTCTATCAATTATTGGGAAAGGCACTGGATTGCTGAGTCCCAGGGCCCTTATTTGGAATACAGATTAATAACATCTTATTAAGAAGGCTAATACAAGCTGATTTTGTAAACATATAGTAAAAGAGTAGGGATAATATATGTAACATGCTTTGAATATTGTCTTGATGGTAGTAGGGACAAAATTATTATATTTTTTACTTCTAATAATCATTTTCAGAAAGTTAATGTACGTAAAAGTACAAGAATAAACAAATTATGAGGCATTTGATGACTGGCTCAGAATTTAAATTTGACTTCTTGATATTTAATTATCCATTGAGATGATTTGTTATAATGCTTCAGTTAGATAAAATATTCTCAAATATCTCAGGTGAGATGTATGTATCTTAGTAATATATGTTGTAGCAGAACTTTTGTATTATGTCTATAACTCAAACTTTAAAATGGAAAAGTATGGACTCGAAATATTCATAAAACAAAAATATTGAGAAAAATCCTGAGATTAAAAAATATGTATATAATTATATTATTCCACTTAATTACACACACACACACCCCAAACAAACATAAAACCTTCTCTTGCCTCCACTATCTTCTGCAGTTTCTGCCTGTTTCTCTCATTACCTTCCCCAGGTATTCATATCGTGTGCCCTCATTTCTCTCTTCTCACTGTTTCCTAAACCCACTTCATTTGGGCATTTGCCTCCATCACTTGTCAGAGTCTGAACTTGCTGAGGTCACCAGTTAGGCACGGCAAATACTTTGCTAAATCCAACATTCCATTCTCATGCTTTATCTTACTCCGTAGGTCAGCAACATTTTCCACTGTTAATCACATTCTCCTCCTTAAATCACTTTTGTCATTTGAGTTCCAGGATAATACACATTTGCCTTAACCTATCTTATTGGCTTTTCCCTTTCTTCTTTGCTGATTCTTCATCTGACTTAGCTGTGAACTGTCAACAGCTCAGTCATCAGAACGTCTCCCCATATTACCATCTACAATAATTTACTTTCTCTCTCTCTCTCTTTTTTTTTTTTGAGACAGGGTTTCACTCTGTTGCCCAGGCTGGAGTGAAGTACCATCATCAGAGCTCACTGCATCCTCAAACACCTGAGCTCAGGCAAACTTCCCCCTCCTCAACCTCTCAAGAAGCTGGGACTATAAGCACAGGCCACAGCACCTGGCTTGCTTATTTATTTATTTATTTATTTATTTATTTATTTATTTATTTATTTATTTATTTATTTATTTATTTCCATTACAGACAGGATTTCCCTATGTTGCTCAAACTGGTTTCAAATTCCTGGGCTCAAGTGATCCTCCTGCCCTGGCTTCTAAAAGTGCTAGGATTATAGGTATGAGCCACCATGCCTGGCCTAACTTAACAATTGAGTCCCATAGTTTTAAATATCATCTTCCTATTGATGACTCATAAACATATAATGGCTACTTATTCTTTTCTTTTGACCTATAAAGCCCTGTATCTAATTCTCTAGCTATCAATCTGGATGTTAACTAGGCACTTCAAACTTGATGTATCTAAAACTGACCACTTGGTCTTCTCCCAAACATCTTCCAGAGAGTTAATCAAGCCAATAAGTGGCAACTACATCCTTCTAGTAGGTCAAGCCAAACACTTGGAGAATCATGACTCATCTTTTAATCTCACACCCCACATACAATTCATATTCTTGGCAATATCTTCAAAAATATATCCAGACTGACAAATTTTCATCACCTCCATTTACAAGACTCCTAAATCTTCTCCCTGCTTTTGTCCTTAGCAATTTCAATATATTCCCTGTGTAGTAGGTGGAACTAGCCTGTTATATTCTGTCAGATAATACCATTCCCTCCTCCAGACTAGGCAACGCCTTTCCTTTGGTCTTAACTGTCAAATTTTCCTGTAGGAAAATTCCTCTAGGAATTAGAAATGTATAGGTGGCCCTTATAGCTGTTGGATTTGAGAAGGTAAAATTTGTAAAGAAGGATATGATGAGTAAGAAGAGTAAAGAACCAACAATAGAGGCCTGAGGATCTCCAGCAAGTAAATGAGTCAAACAAAAAGGAGATGATAAAGAAAACAGAAAGAAAGTGCCAGTGAGATAGAAACATCAGAAATGTTGCAGCACAGAAACCTAAGCAAGAGAATTTGAGTGAGGACAAGAGTAGTATTATCATCTATGTCTAAGAAGCATAGAGAAATACAATATCTATCACTTGTATTAAATACTGTGATGTTCATTGAATTATATTAAAGCTGTGTGAGTCTTCATTGAATTTAAATAGACCACTTTAAGCAGAGTGACTTAGGGGAAAATCCAACCTGAAATGGGGAATGATAATCAATCAATGTGGAATAAGAAATTTGAGTTTGCTAGAAGTCATTTCTTTTGTAGATAGTATAGATGTTTGGAGAAACTAGTTTTCATTCTTCAACTTTATACTCTTTTATGTACCCTGATTCACATTCTTGGGATTACCTTCTACCTCTTGATTATTCCAGGTTTCAGCATTCTCTACTACTCAACAGTCTCCACATATCGTTTATAATTTCCACTTCTTGAATCTGGGGAAAATTTTATTCCTCTGAGTGGAGTGTCTTCTGTCACGATCTGCCAATTCACATTTACTCTATATGGTCCAAAATAGATAACAGCACCTTTGAGTGCCACTTTTGAATTCCTATAAGCTGATGTATTCTTATACAGTTCCCAATACCAGTTCAGATATCCATTATTCACTGTATATAATCCCATAATGGTTCAAATATCCATTATTCACTCTACATAACCCAGTAGTTGGGAATGAGCATTCATACATTTTCATCACAATT